AGCCCTTTTGGGGATTCTTAGGAAAACTAAATGAATCTGGGTTCTCACTTGATGGAGGGAAAGGAAGTGTGGAAAGGGAGCAATTCGCATTGACAATAGACATTCCCCCAAAACTGAGTCTGTGACGAAAACATAGATCATATAGTAATTACGGATATGTCACATGGGTTGGAGCTCTCTCAACTTGCAAGTACAGAATCCACTCACCTGACAACGGCCAGTGCTGCTGCAAGGCGGCCCGGCTGAGCGGTAAAAGGCAGGTGGGCTCAGGTAACACCTGGAAGCGACTCAGCCTTTCTCAGCCTCAGTGCCCTCCTCTATAAAATGCAGGTACTAGTGGAAGACGCCCCGTAAGTTTGCTGGGAGGATTCAAATGGAGTTGTGTGAAGCAGTCAGCACAGGACTTGGCCCATGGCATGTGCTGAATTAATCTGAGATCTGCCTATTACTGTTAAAGGTCACTTTGAAATAAAAGCAAAAAAAAAACTGGGATTCCATGATTCTGTCATAAATGTCTATATCTTTTAACTCAGATGATGGAGCTATTTAAGTCAGAGCATTCTTCTTAGGAAGAATTGTTTTCTATTTCTATTTGTATTTATTTATTTTTACAATATTTATTTATTTATTTATTTTTGCACTCCAAGGCTGGAGTGCATGGTGCAATCACAGCTCCCTGCAGCCTCTGTCTCCTGGGCTCAGGTGATCCTCCCACCTCAGCCTCCCCAGTAGCTGGGACCACAGGTGCACGCCACCATACCTGGCTAATTTTTAAAAAAATTTTAGTAAAGACAAGGTTTCCCTACATTGCCCAGGTTGGTCCTGAACTCCTAAGCTCAAGCAATCCTCCCACCTTGTCTCTTAAAGTGTTGGGATCACACGTGTCAGCCACCGTGCCTGGCCAGAGGCATTGTTGATTACTCAGCACAGTATGCATGGCACTAAAAATTTCACAAATGCTAGAGGCAGGAGAAGCAGGAGGAAAGTCAGCAATCTTGAACTCTGACGTTCACATCCTATGGGAGAACACAGCACAGGGCTTCACTAGAATTATGAGTAAGCAACACATCTCACGGGGCCATTGCTACTCCTGCAAGCCTCAGAAGAGTGACCTGTTCTCTGTCACTAGCTTTCTGAGATCGTCGTGCTCTTCAGCATTTTCACAGCCTGTGCTCTGCAGGGCAGAGGAGCTGTGTGGGAGACCTGGAGGGTGGGGACTAGCAGTGTGGCCCTGCAGGGAAGAGGTGGGCTACTGGTCCAGGATCCTGGGAATAGCTTTCTCTCATCCCTGAACACTCTGGCGGATGCTCCAGTCGCACCTCCACCCCTACCCCCAAGCTGCTGGCTGGTTTTTAAATTACTGGCGTGCACCACGATTGGTTCCTGGGATTATGGTCAGGAGGTATAGTGTAGGGCCTAGACTCTATCCTTAACCCAGATTCGGTGGTCTGGGACAGGCCCTCACTCTGCAGGATCACACCTGCCGGCTACTGACCACTCCTAGCTGTTATCTACACCGCTCAGCAAGAGCAGTTTTATCTGTTTGACGCCTTCTGTAAACTTCTTGAAGGTAACAGCTATGTCTTAAGCCTCTTCGGCATTCCGCTGTGTTGGGCAGATGGCACAGGTTCAATCAAAGCTTTTTGAATATAATTTTCTGACAGAATGTTTCAAAAAGCCAACATCTTTAGACTCATCTTGACAAATCTGCAATGTACCCAGTACATCAGAACAAGGGGCCTGGATCACGACTTTCAGGCACATATTTTCCAGTGAAATGTCTTCTATCTTGGTCAGAGATCCTCAGCTTGGCACACACACAAAACACAACAAAAATGTGAATTTACAGGCCTTTCATGCACCACAAGAGCGAGGGCATGGCAAGGTGGGATCCCATCTTCTGAGATCCCCAACCTGGCACACAGAGGCTGGCAGGCTGGCAATGTCAGATCACAAGACCGAGTGACAGGGCGGTGGGGGATGCCCCATGAACGGGGGCAGTGCTGGGAGCAGGCGTCCGGCCTCAGCGCTTACTGCTCCACATTACATTTTCTAATCAAAATATTCATGAGATCCTATGTTGACCTGGTGTGGTCAGCTGAATGGTGGCCCCCAAAAGCTATGCCCATGTCCTGACCCCTGGAAACTGTGAATGAGTTTACTTGGAAAAAAGACCCTTGTAGATGTAATAAGGACCCTTGAGATGAAGAACTCATCCTCGGTCACCCGGGGGACAAGTGTCCTTACAAAAGACAGAAGAGGGGAACGCCACGTGAAGGCAGGCCAGGGATTGGCAGGTCGCAGCCACAAGCCAAGGATGGCCTGGGGCTACCAGAAGCTAGAAGAGCAAGAAGGTCCTCCCACAGGGTTCTTGTGGGGAGCTCAGCCCTAATGATACCTTGATTTTGGATTTCTGCCTTTCAAAACTAAGACAGAATAAATTTCTGCTGCTTTAAGTCTGCAGTTAAAGGTGCTTTGTTACTGCAGCCATGGGAAATACCAAATTGTACTGGGTCTTCCCATCTACACAGCGGATTCTGTGTTTCTCAGGACTCACATCTCCACCCACAGCTTCCTTCTAGTAAAAGCATCATCCATAAACATTTAGGAGGTTTAGAACTGCATATCATGGTAAGATGGTATCATTTCCAGATGCCATTACACTGGGGTTACTGACTGATTTGAAAGCTCTGTGCCTTTGCGCCTCACCAATCTGCATGATGAAACTAGCAGTCTCACCACGTTCTGCACCTTGCTTTTTTGTTGTTGTTGAAGATGTTTACCATATCAACAGAAGATCTCCCCCATGGCATTTCACTGGGGAGAGGTCCTCTAAATTATTAACTGAGCACTGTATTCAAGCTTCTGTCTGACCTGGCTGCAAATGGACATCCCTGCTCACGTTTACGTGCCTGCGTGTCTGTCTGTGTGGCAGTGTGGTCAGGGGTACATGCACCGCGGTCTCAACAGGTATCACCACGTGCCCTCTGAGGAAGCCCCACCAATTTGCCTCCTCTGTTTTCCTCGCCGCCTGCCCGTGAAGCAGAAGTGTCTCGCAGATGCTTCTATCCTATCACATGGAGCCGTGTCTCTGACAAAGCCAGCATTCTTCCAAAGGCAGACACAGGCCTAGTCACGCCTTAGGCTTCCATCAACAGCTTGGAACCTTGACGGGTGCAATTCTGACTTTTCCTGAGCACCTCCCTGCTCGACCTAATGTAAACAGCTCCACAGCCAATTAGACTCCTTTGATCCTCGAGATGTTCTAAGGAATGGCAGGTACTGGCTCAGCAGCTCCTATCCCTGAAAGGGGTCGCAGTGGTTCCCCGCCCCCCAGCCTCCATCAGTCACATCCCTGCCTGCCTTCACAGAGTGAAAATATAGTGGATATGTTAGAACATGAGTCAAACCAAGTCATTTCCTTGCTCTCACCTCCAGTGGCGTCCTAGCTCTCGTAGAATAAAATCCAAAACCCTTGACATGACCTACAAAGCCACATGGTCTGGACTGTGGCTGTCTCTCCAACCTGAAGTCCCACCACCACGCACGGCACTCCAGCTTAGAACTCCTGAAGTTCCACAGACGATGAGGAAGCGATGAGGGCCAGGTGACCAGGCGGCCCAGTGTTCTGGGGAGGTACCGAGGGTCTGGCTGGGGGGTGGCAATGGGACCTGGCAGGCACTTTCTGCTTCCACCTGCTCCCATAAAGGCTCAGGCCACCTGCATGCATCGTCTGTCTCCTTCCCAAGGCTCTGGCTGTGCCAGTCACTTGTTGAGACACTGGTTCCACTCTTCTTCTCCAACAACAACCTGCTGGCTATGAGGAGACTTTGGGGTCCAAACAACTGACCGAAGCAACCGCCAGCTTCAAAGTTCTAGGAGCCTCTTTTAGTGACTCTTCTACCCCATGTGCTCAGCTGTCCCACACAGGGTTTCAGTCTGAATTGGTCTCGGTTCCCGGCAATTGCTGCTCCCTTCCAGACCCTTACACTCCAGCATCCCACCTGGTCCCCCCACCTGCTCTCTGAGATGCCTGCGGGCCCCGGCACTGCTCTCCTCTCCTGAGGAGTGGCTGCTTCCTCCCGACTCACACCCTGCCCTGTTTAGCTGGTGGGTCGTAAGCCAGTGGTTCTGGAGCTGGCTGAGCATCCAAGCCAATCGGAGCTCTCAGAGGTCAGCTTAAGGCCCCATCCCAGATGGTGACTCCACAGGCCTCTTGGATGCTTGCACTGACCACTGGCTCCATCCTGAAACACCCCTCCCTTCTGTTTCCATGACCCTCTTCAGTTCTCCTGAGGACTCCACAACTGCTCACTTTCTGGCCTTCTTGGGTCCCCTCCTTTCTCCCATCCTGACTGCCGGAATGCCCCTCCTTGCTCATCCCCCACTCTCTCTCCACACTGTGCTTCAGCGGGTAGTCTCATGGGCTATGATGGTTTCAGCCAACACCTCTGCGCCAGTGACTTCCAAGTCTACCTCAGTATTCCCTTCCAATACAAAAGGCATGCAGAAATTAAAAAGTGGGATGGTAGGCGATTGCTACCACCGCGACCCCTTTCAGGAATAGGAGCTGCTGAGCCAGTACCTGCCATTCCTTAGAACATCTCGAGGATCAAAGGAGTCTAATTGGCTGTGGAGCTGTTTACATTAGGTCGAGCAGGGAGGTGCTCAGGAAAAGTCAGAATTGCACCCGTCAAGGTTCCAAGTTGTTGATGGAAGCCTAAGGCATTAGGCATACCTTCTGATGTTCCAAAGGACCCTGGCATGTGCCTTTTAGTTATATCTTTCCCCAATCCATATACCTGTCTACTTGTGACAGGCAGCTAGGGCCACAGTGCATTTCAGGGCCACTGAGAGAAGACTGGCTAACATGGACCTTCTCATAAACACAGTGTGGTAACAAACCAAACTGAGCCCTCTGCGTCACTGAAAACACGAAATCCATCCACGTCCATCTGGCCTTTCTGTTTCAAGATCCCCACCCTTCGTGTGGCACTTACCCCCAGGTACTCCGTGGTCAGAAGCTTCTCTCCTGAGAGTTCTCCAAGCTGGGGCTGGATCAGTTCGTCTTTGTCCAGATCGGCTTCCATGATGTCATGGTCCTCCTATTTCAGGAGACATGGGATGAATGCCGTGGACACCCTGCCACAAGCTCCCAAGGGGTGGCTCCCCAGAACATGTAATTGTCATGAAACAGGAAGGCCTCAGCCAACCACAGCAACTTGAAGGCTTATATTCCAAGGGGGCTCAGGGGTAGTCTGCCTCTGTTCCCAACCTCTCCATGAAGACAAAAGGGACAAGGCCAACCAGCCTCTTCAGGAAGCTGGGAGCCTCCATTGCTTAGGTATGCGGAGGCTCTAGAAGGCTCTTTAAAGTCTCTCCTAATCACAGTTCTCAGAACTTATCTCTCTGTGAGGTCAAGGCACCATATGAACAGTCAGACAGTCACTATTAAGCACCTTCATATACACAGGCCTTATGGGGGATCGGAAACTCTAGAATAGGTTTGCTCGTCTCAAGAAAGTTTACAGCCAGTAAGTAACAAGACTCAGCAAAAAGCGCAGCACTGTCCTGCTTCTGGGAAGACGGAGTGGATGTTCCTTTCCATATTCCTCCCACTGCGTACAACCAAAAACACTGGACACTACCTATAAAAGAAACATAAGGTGACCCTGAAAGATGGAGAGAAGAAGGCAGACTGCCTAGGGGCCTTGAGACCCAAGGATGACAGCTGGTGACGTCCCTGGGTTTTCTTTTCTTTTTCGAGATAGGGTCTCACTCTTGTCACCCAGGCTGCAGTGCAGTGGCATGATCACAGGTCATTGTGCCCTTGACCTCCTGGGCTCAAGCAATCCTCCCTTCTCAGCCTCCCAAGTAGCTGGAACTACAGGTGTATGCCACCACACCCGGCTAATTTTTGTATTTTTTTGTACAGACGAGGGTTTGCCAGGTTACCCAGGCTGCCTGGGTTTTCTTTTTGTTTCGTATATGCCACATTTGGAGCCCAAGAAACCAACAACCAGAAATGTCAATGGTGAAAACAAAAAAAGTCCCCCAAAGCCTGCTTCCTTTAGCCAAAGGACCAGGACAGGGGAAGGCTGGCATGACAGGAAAATTTTAGGAAATAAACACTGGAGAAAACATGGTAGCTACACTCCCACCTGCGCCAGCAAGGGCCTCAGGAGCCCCAGCTATACCCTCACCAGGCTGGGCTACACACCCCAACACCCCAGGTGGCGATGCCAGAGAAGGCTGAGTAGACAGCAGTTTTATCCTTGGTGGGCGGTAAGGAGGTCCCTACCCCACAATGTAAGTGAAGACCAGGTGGGAGCCTAGACTTCTACCCACACTTGGCAGTGACCAGATGCCCCTCACATCCTTCCTGGGGTGGTGTCAGAGCAGCCATGTGGGGCGCAGTGAGTGATGGGGTACTCTTGTCCCTTCTAGGCAGGGAGGCATTAGTGGAGGCGTAGTGGGGATCCAGGACCCCCCATCAACTGGTGTCAACCATGCCAAGCGTGGAACCTGGAATTCTACTCAAACTTGGCAGTAATTAGAAGGAGTCCCTGCAAGGAGTCCCAACAAGGCAAACAAAAGCAAATAAAAGCCATACAGATGAGAAAAGGAAGAAAAACGATCCCTATTTGCACATAATATGACCGTGTAGAAATAAGGAATCTACAAAGAAACCACATACACACACACAAAAACCCTCCTAGAAGTAATGAGTTCAAAAAGCTCACAGGATATAAGAAAAACATATAAAATCAATTTCTATAAACTAGTAAGGAACACACGAACATTGAAATTAAAAATATAATGCCATTTACAATTGCTCTAAAAAAGAGAAATAGGCATAAATCTAACAAAACATGTACAACATTTGTATGCTGAGAACTACAAAACTCTAATGAAATAAATCTGTCGGCAGGGCGCGGTGGCTCACGCTTGTAATCTCAGCACTTTGGGAGGCCAAGGCGGGCGGATCATGAGGTCAGGAAATCGAGATCACGGTGAAACCCCGTCTCTACTAAAAATACAAAAAATTAGCTGGGCACGGTAGCGGGCACCTGTAGTCCCAGCTACTCAGGAGGCTGAGGCAGGAGAATGGCGTGAGCCCGGGAGGCGGAGCTTGCAGTGAGCCAAGGTCGAGATCGCGCCGCTGCACTCCAGCCTAGGAGACAGAAGAACAAGACTCTGTCTCAAAAAAAAAAAAAAAAAAAAGAAAGAAATCTGCTGGGCGCGGTGGCACATGCCTGTAATCTCAGCACTTTGGGAGGCTGACGCAGGCGGATCACCTGAGGTCAGGAGTTCAAGACTAGCCTGCCAATATGGTGAAAACCCATCTCTACTAAAAATACAAAATTAACCGGGTGTGCTGGTGGGTGCCTGTAATCCCAGCTACTCGGAGGCTGAGGTAGGAGGATCACTTGAACCTGGGAGGCGGAGGTTGAAGTGAGCAGAGATCATGCCACTGCACTCCAGCTTGGGCAAAAAGGGCAAAACTCTGTCTCAAAAAAAAAAAAAAAAAAAAAGAAAGAAAAAAGAAATAAAAAATTCAAATAAATACAGAACCACACCTTGTTCATGAATCAAGAAAACTCAACATAGTTCTCCCCATATTGATTTACAGGGGTAATGGAATTTCTATCAAAATCCCAGCAAGATATTTTTGTAGTCATAAGTAAGATTATTCTAAAATCTATATGGAAAGGGCAAAGAATATTGAACACGTTGGCCAGGTGTGATGGCTCACGCCTATAATCCCAGCACTTTGGGAGGCTGAGGTAGGCGGATCACAAGGTCAGGAGATTGAGACCATCATGGCTAACTAACATGGTGAAACCATGTCTCTACTAAAAAAATACAAAAAAAAAAAAAAAAATTAGCCGGGTGTGGCGGCAGGTGCCTGTAGTCCCAGCCACTCGGGAGGCTGAGGCAGGAGAATGGCGTGAACCCGGGAGGCGGAGCTTGCAGTGAGCCGAGACTGCACTACTGCATTCCAGCCTGGGCGACTGAGTGAGACGCTGTCTCAAAAAAAAAAAAAAAAAAAGAAAATTGAACACACTAAGACAATTTTGAAAAAGAAGAACAATATGGGAAGAATCAATCTACATGATTTCAAGCTATAGTAGTCCAGATTGTATGCTACTGGTAGAGGGACAGACACATAGATCAATGGAATGGAACAGAGAACTCCAAAACGGACCTACACAAGTATGTCCTGTGGGTTTTAGACTAAGGTACAAAAGAAATTCAATGAGAAAGGACAGTTCTTTCAACAAATACTGCTGGAGAAATTGAACATTTGTAGGAAAAAAACTGAACTTCAATCTAATTCTCATATCTTATATAAAAATCAACTCAAAATGAATCATGGATTTAAATGTAAAACTGACACATTTTTAGAACAACCCATAAAAGGAAAAAACTGATAAACTGAATTTCATCAAAAAATTTAAAAAGTTGCTCAGTGAAAAGACCCGGTTAAGAAGATGAAAAGGAAAGCTATAGACAGGGAGAAAGTATTTGGAAACCATATATCCAGCAGAAGACTAGTATCAAAAATAAATAAAGAACTCTCAAAACTCAACATTCAAAAATACCCAAAAAATCTAATTAGAAAATGGGCAAAGACATGAAGAGATACTTCACTAGGGAGAATATACAGATGGCAATAAGCACATGAAAAGATGTCCAATATCATTAGCCATTAGGGAAATGCAAATTAAAACCACAATGAGATATCACTACATGCCTCTTCAAATGGCAAAAATAGGCCGGGTGCAGTGGCTCATGCCTATAATCCCAGCACTTCGGAAGGCCAAGGCGAGTGAATCACTTGAATCAGGAGTTTGAGACCAGCCTGGCCAGCATGGCAAAACCCCCATCTCTACTAAAAATACAAAAATTAGCTGGCCCTGGTGGCATGTGCCTGTAATCCCAACTACTTTGGAGGCTAAGGCAGGAGAATCGCTTGAGCCCGGGAGGCAGGGGTTGCAGTGAGCCGAGATTGCGCCATTGCACTCCAGCTTGGGTGACAGAGTGAGGCCCTGTCTCAAAAAAAAAAAAAAAAAAAAAAAAAGGAAAAGAAAAAAAAGGCAAAAATAAAAAACATTGGCAATACCAATTGCTGGCAAAGATGCAGAGAAACTAGATCACTCAAACATTCCTGGTGGAAATGTAAAATAACGCAGGTCCTCTGGAAAACATTTTGGCAATTTTTTAAAAAGCTAAACATCCTGGGGCCAGGCTCGGTGGCTCACACCTGTAATCCCACCACTTTGGGAGGCCGAGGCGGGTGGATCATGAGGTCAGGAGGTCAAGACCAGCTTGGCCAAAATGGTGAAATTCCGTCTCTACTAAAAATACAAAAATTAGCTGGGCATGGTGGTGGGCATCTGTAATCCCAGTTACTTGGGAGGCTGAGGCAGGAGAATTGCTTGAAACTGAAAGGCGGAGGTTGCAGCGAGCCAAGATCATGCCACTACACTCCAGCCAGGGTGACAGAGCAAGACTCAGTGTCAAAAAAAAAAAAAAAAAAAAAAAAGCTAAACATACAGCTACATTTCGGCAATTTCTTAAAGAGGTAAACATGCAACTATAGAGAACCAGCAATTATACTCCTGGGCATTTATCCCAGAGAAATAAAAGCTTGTTGGCATACAAAAATCTGTATGCGAATGTTTCATGGCAGCTTTATTCATAATAGCCCCAAACTGGAAACAATAGATGCCCTTCAACAAGATAACAGGTAAACAAATGTGGTACATACATACCACAGAATACTCTCAGAAAGAAAAGGAACTACTGATGTACACCTGGATGGATCTCCAGAGAATGCTGCTGGTGAAAAAAGTCGTCAGTGGCTGCACACTATATGATTCCATTTCTATAACATTCTGGAAATGACAAAAGTACAGAAATGGAGAACAGATTCGTGGTTGCCAGGTGTTAAGGAGGAAATGGCAGTGGCTGCAAAAGGGATCCTTCTACGAGGGATCCTTGAGTGATGGAAATGTTCCGATCTTGAATTAAAAACAGAAGAGTTAAAAATAAAAAAACTAGCGTATGTGAGATGTCACAAGGCTCTGTATACTCGAAT